CATCAGATTATTATTGACTACAACTTAAAACATAGTAATAATCGGCTGCGACCGAATTCCTGCATACCTACCGCATTCATCTGAAAAGAAACCTGTACCTCCACTTTTTTATAGTATTAGATGGGCGTGGCCAACTTTCCCATTTTTGTATGTACATGTACTGTAGGATAATTCATAGAATATATTTGGAAATTTTTACCGTTATACCTGTTGCAACAACAAAAAGTGTCCTTCAGATGTTCTCTGCTTATGTTCCACGGTAAGCGTGCTCTTTGACCGATTTAGCACATTTTCAATACCAGTCTAAACACAAGAACTCCCTACGGTTTTGCGAAATTTGCAACCGGTTTCTTTATTTTTGCGACCACGAGAAAATTCACCGCAAAACTTATATATGTGGGTTAAGAATGTTACGTTTATTTGCGATATGTATACATTGTAGGGCTCTGAGGCTTCTTTCTGAGCGTTGAAAACATTTTGACAATGAATTTACTCCTACTACATTGCTGGTGGATATCAAAATGAACTTCCGATAGCATACATTTCTGCGAATGGCTCGGGTCGGGGGCATTATAAACGGACTGTATATAGCAGTTTCGATATTTTCACCCGGCTATTCAATCGTACGTTGCACTATAAAACTTGTACACAATTAAAGAACGCTGAATGTCAATATTCACCTTAGGGAAAACTCAGCTTTCAGGCTTTGATTTTGCTAGAAATTCAAGGAAATTCTATTGAATGTGTCTTGAATATTAAATAAGTGCATATGTCGTTCATGTGCTTTTATGAAGCGCACAGAAACGCAACCTCTAACCATCAATAAGACTAACTGTATGGCATATGCATATGTATACAAAGCATATTTGAATTCGTTTATGACAAAGTACGATACCATCGTTCAAACAACGTACAATGCAACCATATATCGAGAAAAGATCGAATTCAATCCGATTTTTATTTTCACTACAGAGTCGTATCTGATGTACGTTACAACGCGTTCATAGACTTGACACAGATGAAGTTATGAAACACCTACAATAGAAACCGAAGCAGGAAAAGCTTAAAGACGCATTCCTTTATTTTTAAGTGTAAGCTTGTGTCAACTTTAACCAGATTGACTCGGAAGTATATATATATGTATATCAATTTTTAGGCTGTCGACGACAGTTTGGTGTTGATTGCCTGTTGTTATTGAACTAAAATTTCCGAAATGGCTTTGCTAATCCTGCTTTAGATTAGTACCTGCTACAAATTCTGTTAATAGTTTCTGGCCTGTTGATGACCCTTGGCCAAACCGAATAGACTCTGAATGATACGGCGCATCGTCAGTATCTTTGAACCCTGCTTGTCTGTGATAAGCAAATGCACTCTTTGTTCGTAAATATTAGATTGGTGAAAAGGGAACTGGAAACGGGAAAGGGATTATTTTTACGGTAACTTGAAGACTTTATTTAACATATTTCGGATTCATAATTTCGGTCAAAGATGCACAGTTTCGTTTTATAATTTGATGCCATTCTAAAAATGGCTTCATAAGACCTGTCTCTGAGAAGTCTTGGTCTCTATCGGCGAAAAACTCTAGTAATCGCTTTGCACAATCTTTTCCTCATGCCATTTTCTTATCACTAAGAAATCGCTTAATGCCACTTTCGGACTATATGGTGGATGCATCAACCTCTCTGTTCGCCAATTCTGGCCATTTCTGAGCAATCGCTAGCTTCAAACAAGGGGGCCGAATTTAGTGTTTGGCCATGTGATATCAAATGATTCCTTTCCCATTCCCACCAAATGTACAGCAGAATCTTCTTGGGCCTCAGTTCTGGTTTTCCCGCCGTTTGAGCAACTTCACCGCGCTTTGACCACAACTGAATTCGCACAGTGTTGTCGTATGTGACCCATTTCCCATCGCCAGTCGCCATCCGCTTAGGAAATGGGTCAATTTCGTTCCGTTTGGCCAAGGCTACGACTGCTAACATGCAGGTCAACTTCGATCATTTCCGACGACGAGTCTTTAAGTGCGATATGCATCATATCCGAACGCAATCGACGCGAACGTCATCGGGACCATAAATACCATTCGCAATTTCAACCGCCTGACTTGCATTTTCGCTTTTATCGAAGAAGCACTATAAAATGTACCGAATTTTCTGAGTGCTGACTTCCACATTTTACACTCGCAACTGAATGGTTCAAACAAAAAGCAACAAAAGAATTTTTTTAAGGCGAAATGTCATCTTTGCAACGAGCATAAACCTAAAATTGTTCGATTGATATTTTTTGAGTTATCGACAATTATAGGCATTTACCGAAAAAATAGTGGAGTCATATCATATTTTATACCACCAATCGTATCGCAAATTTTTAACAATTATTGCCGTCTCCTTTTGTGCATTTTACTCTTTCCGTCTTAAAGTTCAGATCAACGCAAAAAAAAAAAATATTATGATGTTCTTAGTCGATTGCTTCAATAGACTTTGGAATCTTGCAGTTAGTACTCTATAGCTGGCTGATTCTGTTAAGCAGTGCCGTGTTGGTGACGTGAACATGGGGTTAACATCGGTTACAGCCTCCGTAGCGACAGGGATCAAATCTTTTTCTGCATGAGTTTGTCACAGTAGACAGTAGACAGTACTCATCTTCGCATCTACTTATTTCGTTCTTAAGTCCCATCGAAATCATTAAAATTTTTGAAAACAGCAAAATATACATTGGCGACGTTTGAAATGAGCGAAGCGAGAGTAAAATAAATACATGATAATTAAGCACAGTTTTAATGCATTTTTTACATTCTTATAGGTAAATATTATTTAATGCAATACGCCTTCTACACATACGTACTATACTTCGCTATTAAATATACATATTTCAATAATTGCGTCATTTCGAAGATCAAGGTGATCTTTACAATATGCTGGGTAAATAGTTGAAGTAAGCAAAAGTCATCCAGCCTCCCTCTCTTAATTTAAGCTCGCTATACTCCTGGCATTGGGAATGAGAAATTGAAGTACAATTTTTAATGAGCTGTCTCCAAGATATAAGTAGTCTGTGACGTTTTATTTCATTTCAAGTTTTTCCGCTTAATTCGTTTTTTATTTCTCACTTTCATGATCATTAACTTTTCTTCTGTCACTTTGAAGAGATGTGAGAAGACGTTGCTTTAAAATACTTTTAAATCTTTATGATATCTTTTACCATAATTATTTAAGTAGAGAGACTAACACACAAACGAACATTATAATTACTAAGATTGCAATTAAAGTCATTTCGTTCCTTTTGATTTTATGAAGAAAATTTTCTATAAAGTGTTTTCCGGTTTTTGAATTTCCGGAAAGCGGAAACACATTTCAAAGACATAATCATACGTGCTCCGTAAATAATGTAAAGAATGTCTTGCCATGGTCGACATCTCTCAGAAAGGAATTCCTAAAAGGCTTGCTAGAAACAACACCAAATTTATTAAAAAGTCTGCATGACTATCATGACGCACTTCTTCTGACTCGGACAATTCGATATCAAAAAGAAACTTTTATAATTCTTATAAGTTCTGCTGCAGTGTGTATTTAATCAAACTTAAACCTTGGGTCGAAAGCAATAAAGCGCTGCTAAGTTCGTTCGAAAAATAAAACAGCTTTGATAGAATTAGAAAAGAATTGTCTATTATGAGCATCCACAGTTAAAATGAAAGCAGTCTCTCGGAAGTTCTTCGAACTGGGATACGGAAGACGACGCTCAAAACGCACTGCTACATGAACAGTAACCTCATAGAACATTTGCCGCAGTAAAGGCCTGCATTGAAAACCTGGTTCTTAGCTTCCTTTTCACTCCGGAATTTTTGCATTTGAAATTTACTTGCATTTTTTTGCGGACCAATCACTCAGGTGATGATCCTTATTCCTGCAAAAATTGTAGCTACCAGCCAGAGTAAACTATTTAGCATATTAAAGATTTGAGCCCACGAACACTGACTACTTATCCACGTATTCGTTGCAAATGAAACCAACTGTTTTGCAAACCTAGTGTCGTTATCTTGTTCAGAATCGTAGACAAGTTCCGAAAGTAATGTTATAGCTCTTGCCAGATTGTATTCGGCTTTATTGCGTGAAATCTTACGCCACACAGCGCCTGTAAACTATAAAATTCGTGACAACAGCAATTTGTTTACATATATGCCCGAAACTTGACGTTGGTTTCTATGCATGAACAAAGCAAAAAATGGAAGTACTTTACGCAAGCGAGACGACTGGTAAGCTTAAAACGCATTAAGTTATCGTAAATGACGCCAGATTTGAACTGAACTTTGAATTAAGTGTGACGTGAAGAAGGCGAAAATATAAAACAAAATTAGTTCTTTCAATGCTCCATTTACAAACCATATTTGCAACGCATAAAAACTTTATAACTCTAAGTTCTATACTTTTTTCGACAAACATGAAATTTTCTGTAAAAATCAGAAGAGAAATCCAAGAAGTAATTGAATGCCATTTCTATATGTTCCCTTCATACCATAGACATGCCATGCATGAAAGTGCGTTTACTAACTCAATTAAGTGTTACAAACTTAGCCATAAAATTAATATATCGGCTTTGTCGCTGTTAGTAATGAAAGCTGGACTTATAAAAAGCATTATAAAAACAAAATTTTTATATGCAAACCATGTCTTCAAAGCAAATCTCATTTGTGTGCTGCGTTGAAGTTACTTTAGTGATTAATATGAAAAACAAAGTATTTTAACAAAATGAGTGTTTGTTTGCAAGAAGACTTCTTTTCAAAGCCCGCTTGACTTCAATGCGTTTACTTACTATTCACACAATGTTTTTTTTTTTTTTTTCTTTTTTAATTTCTAAAATTATATAAGGAAGAATACTCTTCAACTTTGCTCAACTTTTTGTTTATCAATACATAGAACTCGACTGATCGCAGATTTATAATTTTTTTTTTTAAAGAAATAAAAAAAATTGTTGTATTTTGCTGTGAAATTATTTTATTTTAATTGCAGATAAAACTAAAAAAGGTTTTGGGCCTCACTGTATGTAGTAATGCAGCCTTGGATTGTTCATCTATTAGTGGCCTATTGGCCTATCCGGCAGGGTAAGTGATTTTCTTCAATTTATTCAAAAGATTTCTCTACAAGCCATCGTCCGCTTCGATGTGTACATATATGCAACACGGACCCTAGAAATCCCAAATGTTTCGAGCTTTTCTCTAAAGAAGACTTTGAAATTTGGTAATCGGGCAGCTTGCCTGGAAAGTTTGTTGCATAATTTGCAATTTCATCATTCGATCTTGTCGATTTGCTTTGCCTCTTGGGGGTTTCTTACTTTAGCACTCCATTTAACTTGATTAGATGCTGTCTCGATATCGTTCAGATGTAATACAACATTTTCACCAGAAGCCCGTACAAAAGCGATTTCTTTCCAACCCCGCCAAGCACAAACTAGCACATTACATGGCTGGCTATTTTGGGTCAACGCATGTTTTCCTTCCTTTAGAATTGTTGTATAGGGTCAATTTTTCTTCGTTCGTAAGAAATTGATAAAGATCATTACATTCTCTTTCTATAGCGCCTTAATAAATTTAAACAGATATTAACTCTTCGATTTTTGTGCTCTCTCTCTCCTTCTTTCCGCATCTTTCCAATACTTTGCAATCGGACTGAAAGTCCTTCTCGAGTTATTCCCAACTGTGCAGTAAGCCATTACTGAGTCTCTACAGGATTTTCGTATAGAAAACTTTGCATTTCTTCATCCAACACCGTTTGTGAAGCACCAGACCGTTCACCGCCTTCAACATTACAGTTTATTGCGTAAAATCTCTTTCTACCACTTTCTAATTGTTCTATCATACACCGTGTTTTCAGCCTAAGCCAAATTTATCATTTTGTACATTTTTTCCCATATTAAAAGAGAATAACATGGATTGGCGAAAATGCTGTTTGTTCCCATTCACATACCTTTAAATTTTAATATACCTTGAACGACAACTTGTAAGCAACTGCAACTTACATCGATCAAACGTCAATGTCGTCTATACCTGAAATGTAGGCAAAATGGAACGCATAGGCTTTATAAAGCAACTAATTTCAGCGGATAGAATTTATTTACGCACCTATTAGATAAGTTTTATAGCGTGGCGACGGTTCTTATCATTTCGGAAAGCTTGTCCAAGAAATTTTACGTTCCCGCTAAGTTCGTCAACATCTCTCCTTCTCATTAGTATCTACTCCACTTGAGGATTTATTGTCCTTCCGAACATGATGCTCTTTAATCTTAAGGAGATATTCAAAAAATTCGGCTTTTTGTGAACAGGCTCAAATGATTCGTTGCGACTTTCACACGGAATGCAATTCGGTCAAAAAGATGATGAAAATAGAACCGCTTTGATTTGTTAAAAATAAGTAGGAGCTATCCTCCACAGGTTTTACCTTATTTTAGTACCCACCATAGGCAATTACCAACGTGAACAATCAAATTTAAATCTAATTTGCTGTAGCAGCTTTTGGACAATACTTTGCGTAAAGCCGTCTGTACCGTTGTCTTAAAGTAACTACGTACTTTTGGGTCCATCCGGCACACGTTCGGGTCAGAAGCTTTCTATAAGCAGTGCCGCGCAAACTTCTAATCAGAAATAGAGGCATTCGAGGCAACTAAAAATAGAGCAATTACTCAAAAGCTTATTGAGGCATGTAGCTTTTTCGAAGCTATGTTGCTCTTCTGTCTACCATACATCTTACTTCCAAATGGATCGATAAATCAAAGTTAAGTAAAAGTTCAAAACTTTGGTTTCCTAAGTGTACGTTTGGTGTATTCGCGTTCGAGAGATAGACAAATTACGAAATGCTCTTTCTCTTTATTCAGCTTGCATTCCTATTTTAAATATTCTGAATTTCGTTTTTATACACGGCTGAAAGAAGAGGTGCCCTACATCCCCTCAAGTGGATTCTTTTTCCGTTTGCAACACCTAAAAATATATTTCTCGGTCACCTTAAATTTCCTCGTCAATTAGTTCCTGTCCGTCCGTCCGTTTGTTGCCTACGATTGTAAGAACGACACCATGTGCCATTATTTACCTTTAGAATACTCGACAATCAAAATTGATATCTAAAAACAAAAGTAAGTATGTATGTTCTCTATCAACGACGGCAGATCAGATTTAAAGTTGAGCGTGATTCCTCGCTTTCGCCTATTTAGCAAACAACAGTGACTTACAAATATTACTTTATTATATCTTTTCAGCTGCACTATCGTTCTATTCAATGCTAAAAAGCAATCTCAGGCGTACTTGGTAAATACATCGAGGAAAGCTTTTACGTCGGTGGCATTTTCTCGATGCGGACGTTACATTGCCACGGGAGAGTGCGGCATAAATCCAGCTATCAAAGTTTGGGAACTTGACGCACCGAATGGCAATTTGGGAAATTGCACAGGAGGCAATGTTATTGCAGAATTTGTGGATCACAAATATGCGGTGACATGTGTGGTATTAGAGCAACAGTTATTGTTCAATCATTTTATTAACATAGTTTCATTTTCCCTGCAGGCCTTTTCACCTACTGGTAAATATTTGGTTTCGGTTGGCTCGCAACATGACATGATTGTAAATGTCTTTGATTGGAAAGCGAACTTAAAGATGGCCTCCAATAAAATTAGTTCCAAAGTGTCGGCAATTAGCTTTGCCGAGGACGGTAGTTATTTTGTAACGGTAGGTAACCGACACGTAAAATATTGGTATTTGGAGGGAAGTCGCAAATATAAGGACCCCATACCTCTAATGGGTCGTAGTGCCATATTAGGAGATTTACGTGATAATGATTTCTGTGCTGTAGCGTGTGGCAAAGGCGCTTGTGCAGAAAGTACTTATGCCATTACCAGACAGGGTCATTTGGTCGAATTTAGTTCGCGGCGTTTATTGGATAAATGGGTACAATGTCGTACCACAAATGCCAACTGCATTAGTGTCAATGGACAATTCATACTAGTGGGATGTGCGGAGGCCATTATACGTATATTCAATACGTCCACTCTGGAATATGTGACGACCTTGCCCCGCACTCACTATTTAGGCGTGGACGTTGCTGAAGGTATACATATAAATCATATAATGACTGTACCAGCGCAAGCCAAATACCCTGATTGTATAGCCATGGCTTTCGATGAGCAAAGATCGAAGGTAGGAATACATTTTGGCAAAATAATTTACCGCTAAACTATATCTTTTGAATTTAATTGCTTAGGTGACCTGTGTGTATAATGATCATTCGTTATACATCTGGGATATGCGAGATATTAAACGTGTGGGTAAATCGCATTCATTTTTGTATCATTCCACTTGCATTTGGGGTGTTGAAACGGTGCCATATAATATGGAGCGCGACATATCACATACTCTGCCGGACGATTCCTTTGTCACTTGTTCTTCAGATGATACGATACGTGTTTGGGGCCTTGAGGAATGCGCAAATAACGAGATTTATCGGAAGAATATATACTCGAAGGAGCTACTCAAAATAATCTATATTGATAATGATCTTAATTATATCAAAGATCCTGAAATATTTAATGATAAAAATAACCCAGGGATTAATTCTAACTACGATGGCCGAAACGGGGTACGCTGTATTAAAATTAGCCCTGAATTACAACATTTGGCCAGTGGTGATCGAAGCGGTAATATTCGAGTTTACGATCTTAATAACTTGAAATTGATTACCACCATTGAGGCGCATGAGTCCGAAGTTCTATGTCTGGAATATTCCAATGAGAATATAGATCGCAAACTATTGGCCAGTGCTAGTCGTGATCGTTTGATTCATGTCTTCGATGTAGCTCAAAACTATCATTTGCTGCAGACGCTAGATGATCACTCTTCATCGATAACTTCGATAAAATTTGTAGGCAGTGGCTTCAATTTTCAAATGATTTCTTGTGGTGCCGATAAATCTATTATGTTTAGGTCATTTCAGGTAAAATATAATATTTCCTTTCAATTCTCGATGCAGAAAGCAAACTTTCATATTTGTAGGGCAATATTTTTTTGCGTGGTACACATACATCGGGGAAAACCACATTGTATGATATGGAGGTAGATTCAAATTCCAAACACATATTAACTGCTTGCCAAGATCGCAACATTCGTGTATACGGCACTCAGAATTCTAAGCACACGAAAACATTCAAAGGCTCATACTCCGACGAGGGAAGTCTTATCAAACTGAGTTTGGATCCGAGCGGTATTTATGTAGCAACCTCGTGTACAGACAAAACTTTGGCCGTTTACGACTATTATTCCAACGAATGTATGGCTCGCATGAGTGGGCATAGTGAGCTGGTGACAGGCTTAAAGTTCACCAATGATTGCCGTTATTTAATATCAGCTAGTGGCGATGGATGTATATTCATATGGCAAGTTCCTCATGATATGATTGTAACGATGCAAGCTAGACTGTCGCAACAAAGATTACGATCAGGACATACATCCGCACCTAAAGTAATATCAGCAAACGCTCAGGAAGGTGTAATAACTAATTCACACGCAGTAGATTTGGATGATATGAATACAACACAAAAATATGCGCATTCTTTCAGCTCTATGGCTAGGGAAGTCGCGTTGACGCCGGGCTATAAGCTTTCTGACGTTGGACAATTGCCGCAGTGGGCCAAAAAGAAAGCGGGCACTTCGAGTGAATTGGAATCATCAGGAGCGGGAATGCCTTTTAGTAAACCAGAATCCAATTCAAACCTCAATGCCTCGTCCAGTTTGACCAGCTTGGCCCCAAGGCCCCGAAATCGGTGGGCTCAAAGGGGGCAATTTGACGCAGACGCTCTCACTGACATCCGATCGAACTCCGAAAGTCCACTGGGAAGCACGACGACGGGAATGGGTATATTGCCTACAATTACTGTGGGTGGTTTAAGTAATGCACAGACTTCTGATTATAACAGTGCCTCTTCTAAGGATATTATGTATAACCAAATGTACTTCAGTGAAGATTCTTCCTTAGACTCGGGCATGGAAACGCGGCGAGACTTAAAATTTATAGGAAGTGATAATGTAGGTACTGCACCTAGTAACTCTAACGCATTTGGAAACAATGGAAGTGGTTTGCCGCAATTGTTGCAGGACAAGCGAAAATCTGGTCTAAGATTTGACAACATATCCACAAATGATCATGATGGCGACGTCGAAGATATATCGGATGGCGAACGCACTAGCTCTGATCATGGTCTATTTTATAACAACATATCACCTAGCACTTCAACGTAAGCTTGCATTTATATCTCTTTGTATTCATTTTCTATGTTTAGGAAACTGGGCAGATTGCATTATTAATTGTTCGATTCCCCTTTTCATTTGTTTTTAAACATTTCATTCATTTATTGAAGTGCCCGGGCGGTCTTTATTCGAAATATGTGAAAATCTTGCTCTTAAAAAAATTCAAATACGAAAAAACTTTGAGGTTATGAAGAGAAATTCGAAGTTAACTATCAAAGGCGCTTACCATCTTTCGTGACAAAGGTCTGCAAACGAATCTATCTCTAATAAGCTAAACAAATTCTGCTTTTAGGAATTATTTTTAACAATTTTTTTTTAAATTTGGTATGTTAGCAAGAAATGGCTATGGAAAAATAGCCAGTGTTAAGATTCTAGCGCGACCAATGTGTGACTAGACAATGTCATCTATACTTATCTATATCAAGGGCGTCTATATGAAAATACCTTGCAGATGAGCAAAAACAACTTTTCAAATCTGGGCGTTCTGGCATAGCCCAAATTCCACCGCATCTGAATCCTAACAAAACTCTGTTAAGTGAGATGATAGGTAACCTTGCTAGTTAAATTCGAATTCATCTTCACGCCCTTGAAATCTGTGCGTTTTTATGTTAAAGTTTAAATTAAAATGCGTATTGTTCAGAAAATTATTAATTTTGATTATTCTTCAAGACAGTGCTTTACAAAATCATATTTAACCAGTAGGTAGTAGGGCAATATAATATTGTGGTTGCTACTGACTTCTATCGAAACATAATATTAGAGCTTTGCAGTAAGCAAGCTTGAGTTATTCCTTTCCAAAAAAGAAAGAAAACAAAGGTCTAACTAACGTCTTCACATCCCGTTTATTTAAATAAATTAAGCATTGTGGAATGAAAAGAATGTTTCCATCTAAGCAAATAATTCGATAAATTCTTTTTGTATAAAATCCACAGAGATTTTAAAGTTACCGCAATGAATGAAGAGGAATTGCGTAAATCGGTTCGAAGACAAAAATTTGAAAAAACAGGGCTCTCCATTAGTGCAAATTGTTCATCACATACCGCCAGTACTGGGACTGGAACTGGTACCTCAGATACCGAAGACGAAGGTTCTACGCCTAGCGCTGAACATGCGGACCGATCATTAGCTTCTACTCTGGGTGGCAGTTCAGAAAGCATACCGCTAGCGTCTTGCAGTTTTCTACAGGCAGCTCTACCGGATGCTCCTTGCGCTGTACTTGAAAGAGGTAGCACAGGTAAATGTTGTGTCAATTATTTTATGTAAAATTAAATAAACAAAAGTTTTTTCGATATCAGGTCGTCGTAGTATTAGCGCTAAGCACAATACCGAAAATAACAAATCCGTCGTCACCGTCCAACCCACCATAACGAAATCTTATACAACTACAAAGAAAGAAGAACTACTCAAGGTTATAAACGAAGCTAAACAGAAATTAGAAAACGTAAGTATACTTTATGCACTTGGTATAGATATTTGTATCTCTGTCGTATGTGAAGTTTACAAAATGTTTAACGTATCAGACTATGGAATGGACTACGAATGGATTACGCTTTGGAGGTTTACATGCCGAAAGCCTCCAAATTTTATACGTAGATTTATGCTTAGTTCAACATTATTTCGTTATTTTCACCTTCATCAAGATGACTTTAAAAGTGACGAAGAACTCTCACTTATTGCCCTTATTTAATATGAAGCTGTTCTCTACACAATAGTTTTGCTAAGAGCGCTGTCATCTATTGTTAGTGAAATTTTTCGAGGGGTTTTTATTAACAACAATAGCAACTAAACAATTGCAGTAAAATGGCGGCTCATTCTTAATCGAATCAAATCAATGTTCTTTGTAATTTTCAATGTAATTTTTTGTACACATTACTCTATGATTTTTCGCATAAAACGCGTCATCGTCGCTTGTGCTATTATAAATTCTTACGCTAGAAAAACTTACTCGACTTAACTCGAAACATGCATTTAAATAATCGTAATACTTAAATTATCATGTTCACGCATATAACCTACTCTGGAATATGTCTTAAATCAATCTTTTGAATCTACGATAACGGAATAACCATTAACTTCATTGTACTTAAGTTTAGCTATATAATTTTTAAATTACTTGGAAACCGGTACGGATTAGATACACAGGCAGCCGTAAAAATTGAAAAGTTTCAGTTCATAACTTAAATTTGGTTTCACTACGAAAAGCGAAAAAGTTCAAACAGGTATACCTAAGGGCGGGAAACTTCAAGTATTTTGCTTACGCGAATGCAAGATTGAAAAATAGTGGGAATAGTTTTGTTGGCAATTAAGAATAATATGACTGCTTCGCTTAGGTATTTTCATCATTGGCCATGTATAAAGTTTATGTGGACATTCATTGCGATTTCTTAATTTCAGGTGGGCTATCGGTCTCTTAGAGGCAGCCATAGTATTTCGGACTTAAGCTTAGCAGCTGATTTCGATGGGCCTCGCACCTCAGCGGCTGCAAATCGATATTCCAAAACAGGTAAGTTTAGACTTAATTTGCACTTTAAAAAAAATCATCGTTTGACATTTGTCGAATTGAGACGTCCACCACCTGAATAGGAATGTCTTACGCAAGATTGACAACTGCAAATATAAAACTTTTGTTCACCGGCCATGGATGTTTAAAGTGAATTGTGTGAGGAAATTGCAAATTTTATCCTCTATGACTTAACTCGGCATTTTACGCTGTTTTAAAGTGCTTTTATATTTTGCAGTCAGAATCGCCGAATAGAGAGAGCTATTGGGTAATGATAATTTCTTGTTTTGGGTGGTGGATGAAAAAGTAAGCGATGTCGGCCCAGTAACAAGCTAATTTAAGTTTGTTTTTCTTTGTATTTTTTGATCTCGTTTATTTAACATGCTGCTGCGTATATTTCCTTTTTATAATATATCGCAAATTTTTTTTGTGTACATACTTGTCATTTTTAAGCTACTAGCTCAAATGATTTTACACAGTGCACTAGCACTGCTGGCACTGCTAAAAATATCCCTTTAGATTCATCGCCACAACGCTTCACCCAAAATGATAATTTTCCACCTCACCAACAGTTTTTTAATTGTGCTGCTCCGAAGTCAGTGCTTCATCAAAATTGCCAAGTAATGCGTCAAGTGCAAAAGCAATATCCTCCATATCCTCGTCACGTAGGAGTGTATCAAATTCATCCGCCACCCGGCGTACCGTTTGGACCAATTGCTAAGAAATCGGCACAACAAAAGCTTTTCACAAATTCAACATTACCGTCAAGTAATCAAAGCAACAGCCAAAAACGTAACAACAGGCGGACTACAAGCATTTTAAAACACTATAAATCTTGTCCAGTTTCTCCGGTTCACGAAGAAGTCGAATGGTCAGCGGGCAATAAAAACATTACAATAACTGAACCTAAACGCCATTCAGTATACGCCGAAGATGCACGTACCATATTCGATATTATTAACTCTGATACTGAGAAAATGATTAAAGAAATTGCTACAAAATATGGAGACTTGGACGATATTGGCGTAAATGTTTGTGATCCCGCGACAAATAGCAAACAATCTCAAATAGTCGTTTCCAAGTCGGTGCCAAATAATTTAGCTGATGCTCGTTCTGACGCATCGCTCTTAGCAAAGTCTGCGGATAAAGGCGATTTTACGCGTGATAGTGCTCATCAGCAGCAGCATCCTTATGTAGCAGTGGCTCCTAAACACTCATTCTCGGAATTCTATGTATATCAGGAGATTTATCGATGTCAACGAAAAGTTTCATTGTCGGATATACTTAATGAAAATGGCAACACCATGACAGAAGTCAAATCATTGGAAGAGGCGCGATTCTTAGAGGCTCAAAGGCACTCTAGTGCTAGTTTCTTTTTATCGTCTCAAAATCCTCTTACCGCCGAGAGAAGTCAAGAGTCTTTGCTATCTGAAGATTTCATGGACGACGTCAGCTACTGCAACAGTATGGAAAGTATTTTGTCCGATGAGAGTGATTGTAAAAGTGCACCTCTTGACACTTTAGTTGAAAAACAAAAAATTCCGAAACATGCGAGTCTTAGAAATTTCATAGTACACGGTCCCACCTCAAGTGTGGCTGCAGCCCAAATGATCTCTCGGTCTTATGGCTGCAGTCCGAATACCTATAGCAGTTTTGATTATTACATTCAACAACACCATCTTCAGTCAGGCTCTAGTAAAACCTATAATACTTTCGATATGTCCAATTATAACATGGATAAAATCAAAGCTATTGATAAAAAAGCCATAACATCTACTAACTCAGAAACATATCGTAAATTTAACGAAATCCAAACCAAAGACTTTCATAAAATAAACGATGATATCCCCACCCTGAGCAGTAAAAATAGACAATACAGTTCTACTGTTAGTAAAAGCATAAGTTCAGATTTTGCCCAACAAAGATGGCAAAACAATACGAATCCTCTGCAAACTGATTCATTTTCATCGACACGTTCTGTAAAACAATGCAAAGAGAATATGTTTGAAAGAAAAGCTGTTAAAGCAAAGCCACCAGTGCCAACTAAACCGCATAATTTAATTTCAACTTTAACGTCAGTGGAGGCAAATAAATTTGATCCCGCTTTTGAAACCTATAAAAAGACCTGTAGCTTTCAAGCAGACACTACCTCTAAAGGGGCGCGTTGCAACTCCCGTACGGCTAGCGTCGTTAGAAAGTTCGAAAAAAATCTACAGAAGTTTGAACGCGAAAAACAAGCTGAATTGCAGGCAAAAAAGAAAAGTGGCCTTAGAGAATCGGCGAGTAGCGGGGCTCTCACTACCGCTACTCAGAGCTGTTTAAAAAAGATTTCAAAATTTGATCAGAATGACCAAGGTGTTGTTTCGCGTCGTGCCACCTCTATGAAGCATAGAGATCGTCCGAAAATTTCAGTAAGATTCAATACAGTATCCCAGATCAAATATACTCCCAACGTAAAACGTTCGACGCCGTGCATCAAGTCTACATCTGAGAAAATTTGTGCGATAAATACATTGCCCACATTGGCAGTCAGCTTACCATCCGATTACGGGGAGAAGACTTTTGAAATGTTTATCGCAGAAAGCGGAAACGGTGATCATGGCAACATGAATATCGACAATGTGAAACTCTATACTAAGCCCAAACTGCAAGCTGTGGTAGATGAAATTAAACAGAAACGTGGACGGGATACTAAATATAAAAAAAATTTAGCCAATGTTGAAAAATCTCAAACACTAAATACTAGGTCCACCGTTGATTCTTCCACGACTAAGCAATGTAATAGTATAAATAAAAAAATCGATGTTATTCAAAAGCTAATCGAAATGGAGGAAAGGAAACTTGAGCAAATACGCTTAGCTACTGAGTCGCGAATGCGACCTTTCGAATGCGACTCTAAGCAGAAGGGGTACGTAAAATCGCTTACCATGAACTTCGATATGCTAGCCAAAGGCATAGAAACGGATATAGAGAATGGAAGACGACGCGTATTAAATGATAACATGGATGGCGATCTGTGTGCTTACGCTCGTCACATCAAACGCAATTGTAGTCTGCCTGACGTTTTAGAAAATACTGGATCCTACAAAATCGATGAAGATAGTAAATCGTCTCCGTTCGTTCAGGTTGACGCCGATGGTATAGAAGTCGAACTGGCGAAAGAAGTTAAAGCCGATTCCGATGTGGATAATGAAGATGAAAAGGAAGATGAAAGTGAAAAAGCTCCTTGCACAAATAATATTTATAGCTCAGGTCGGATAATTGTTAATGCCGTCACTTGTATGTCTCTTTTATAAATTCTGGTTTTTTTTTTTTTCATTTTAATTATAAGTTAAAAAAAAAAAAAAATGCGTTTTCCTCTGTTTCTTGTTTATTTTCATGCGCACTTTCAAAATTAAGCAAAAACTCTTTGTTTAAAAGATTAATTACCGCCACCTTCGTTCCCCACCGCTCCTTCAGATCTTTCGTTGAGAAATTCTTATATTTAAGAAAATTAGAAAATTCTTCTTCTTCTCGTAGCCGCTCCAGATTGCACCTATTTCAAAATTTAAGAAATTATAAAATTATCATTGTAGCTATGTTTTCAGTTTCGTTATTCAAAAACTACTTCACGCATATTTATTGTAAACTCAATTTCTTTTGAAGCGAAAATATAACATCGATTTTGGTTAAAGACTTTATACGAAGTAACTAAAAAAATTTCACGTAAATTCGAGGATCACATCAGCTTTTACAAAAATATCTGAAATACAAGGATCGCAAGAAGAATCTCGAATACCATTCAAAATTTAGATTAGAAACACATAGTCATGGGAATGAGTTTAAACTCATCACTTTCGTACGACTTACTTTATATGTCCTCTAGGAAGAGCAAATGTCTTTATTTCTGTTGTGATAAATATTGTATCTAATTATACTAATGAAGTTTAATTTCCTTCAAAAGACCCCTCAAATATTCCGCTTCCGTTGAGACTGACGGCAGGGTCGTAAATTTCGGTGCTTCGGTCCTGTTTAACCCAAGTGTTCATCGCACCTTTTATTGCCACGTGAGCACTAAACGAGGTTGGAAGAAACGATAACCTATTGGAGAGAAGATACATTGGATAACTGCGTTGCTTTATAAGCTATTCTTTTATTGTTTGGTTTTAATAAAAACTTTTTCACGAAGCAACAATATTTCAAACGGCTCTATATAAATTCAAAGTTTCAATGCTAGTAATAAGAAAAATATTTGAATATGAATTTATGCAATTCCTTCAATAATATATCATAACGATTTTATATGGGGAGCATGGAATTCATCTTGTCCTTTTTTTTGTCGGAATAATAACACTTCTCCAACTAACGCTTGAAAAATTTGAGTTTTCCGTGTCCCTCAATAACTTTGGAAAAGTGGAGTATGACCGGAGGAAAACGTTCGATTCTAATTTTCTTAACGGTAAAATTTATTCGGGATTAAAATTGATGATTTGTCATGATTTTGCATTTGAGAAAATATTAGAAAGTACGCAGTTCTATTCAAAAAAACTTCACTTTATGCTTCTTCGAAGAGATACAAAGTCTATATAGATTATAGTATTAATTTTTCCTATGATGAATGAAAATGAAGTAGTATTTGCCTCTCCGCACCAGCATCCGTTAGGGAGCATAGATCATACCTCACACTCTTGCAAGCAAAATCATTCATTAAAATTGGCCTCAAGTGATTTAATTTCTTTTTTTCTTCTTCTTCTTTTTCGCTATATGCGCGTATTTCTATCCATATATAACTTGCGAATTTTCAATTATTGCCATTTCAAATTGCAGGTAATTCGAAAAGCATCCTGCCCGCGCCTGCCGAAGAGTCATCCTCAATACGAAGAGCTTGTTCGCTAAGCGATTTATATATGGGCAACGTGAACAAGGGTTTGTAACTTTCAAATCGTTTATGTTCTTTCAATAAAACTAAAATTGGAATTGTAGGTGGTAAAGTCAATAATGCCACACAAAAGTCTGGTACAACTCATCGTAATACTTCGACTACTCGGAACGCTAATAAACGTAATTCACAACAGAAAGGTTCACCGATCAATTTAAGCGGAAATCCTTCCATGGGAATATTGAATCTGGTAAGTATGTTTGTTTAGATGTCAAAAAGTAATAATACGAAAACGTTGACACTCCGACAGAGTGATTCCGAACCTGAGGACACTAATCATGGACGTGTGTCATCCGCAGGTCAAGGAAAATCGATCGGATCCTTTGGTGAGTTTAGATTAAAGGTAAAAAGTAAAAAATATGAGTGCTGCATTTCAGGTCCGGCACGTTCACATGGCAACAAGAACTCCAACAGCAACAATAGTCGTCGCAAAAGCGGTATACAAATGAATTTCAATAATGGTATGTATAGCGAGAATTTTAACTGAATTATTAATAATTGAATTATTTCATATATCCTTTCACTTTTGTTTTTGCTTGCAAAGATGACTCCAGTTCAGAAGAGGCGCAAGGAAGTTCATCAAATGCGAAGCCTGTAGTGCCACCAAGACCCCGTAATTTGTCCTTCGACCATAAAACTAAAGCACAGAACAGTTGCAATATGACTAAGCAAAGAAATGTGTACGAGGCAGAAGAGCATTTAGATCTTGGCGGTTGTACAGATCGTAAGTCTTAGTCTAATCGAATTTTATATTCCAAATAAATATCTGAACATTTAATTAACAGCCAAATCACAAGTTCACAACGTCATAAATAAATTGTATTCCACTACACAAACAGTTTTACAACTGCATGCCAATCTCAGAAATTGTGAGGACTCATTGATGCTGAAAGAATTAGAAAACGCTGTGATTATGACACAAAATATGCTTACGAATATAACACAAAATAAGTAAGTTTTACTCAATTCGCATTAAAAAGAGGCTAACATTTCACGTAAATGTTTCCTTACCGAGACGCCGTACTGCGTTCTGCATTGATCGTGTAAAAACATTTTGAGAGACTGTGCGTGCGAAAATCTTTTAGTAATAAATTTTAAGAACGATCGTGAGAATATGACTGGATTTAATATCTAAAGTAAAATCTAAATTAACCAAGTAAGGATCTAATATTCGGCGGGGGGTGAAGCTCGCATACCCACCACTATATTTTTCGCATTCTACGTTCTAAGTTCTTTCATTTGATACCCATAGCGCTAGTGGTATTATTAGGAAAAAAGGAAAGGCTAGTATTATTAAGGAAGAGGTGTCTACCATATTCATTTCAAAATTAACCCATTTTTAGGCAAATAATACTCTTCCATTTAAAGAGTGTACAAGACGGTTGTTAACATTCTGTCTTGCTTGACCTATGGCATAAGACCTCAAAAAAGTGAAAAAAGTAAAATTTGATCACTCGTAACTTTGTGGAGGCATTTCCGATTCTTTTTATTTTTACTCGTAAATGGCAAAGTGGTTCGTCACGTAAATATGGAAAATTTCAGGCGTCCGACTAACGAGCAAAAACCCACAATTTTTTGTTAAAAAAAACCCTTCTGTGCAGTCTTTTGCTCCGACCAATTTGAGCTATTCTTAATACCAACCTGCAAGCAGAAACTTGCAATGCATCTGCATTTTTGGGGCCAGGAGAGTGCCAACAACGCACGCCACACCGACGGACAGACATGGCTATATCAACTCAGAATTTCATGATAGTCAAAGATATACTTTTCAGGATCTCTGAAGCTTTCTTTTGGGAGTTACGGAAAAAAACAGAATGTGTATACCCCCATCGTACTACAGTGGTAGGTAGAAAAATGTCGCATAGTTGACCGCAGAAAACTTTCAGAATAAATTCACGAAAATTTTATATATTAGTAGAAACTATAGAGTTATTTTAGATATCGAAGTCCAGCTAAAGAATATCGTTTCTATTGATATGCCCACCGGAATGTATGTAGAATGCATTTTCATGGAATAAAACAGACAAAAGAAGCGCACGAATGCACGAGCTGCGTATGTATTCGCAACATCGATGTATTGAGAAGTCTCATTGTGATATTGGGATTACGATTTTACAAAAGAAAGAATACATGTAAATATGATATGTCTTTTCTTTTTACAGAACTGATAAAAGTAATCAGCTTGCAAACCACTCTTTCACAACAACTGAACAGAAGAATTTAGAAAACGGTGACTACTTAATGATGGTTAACAATTGTGCCGATTTGCTAAGTAATTTTCGTATGAAGCACAAACCGATCGATGACTGTGAGAGCAACTCCTAGTTTATAAAAATACTTTCAACTACTAACCTTAAAGGTAGACTAAGAACTAATAGAAGCAAATCAAGAAAACTCGTTAAACTGAATTTTTTAATTCCCGTAAAAAATGATATAACATTCAATTAATAAGAAAAAAAAAAAAAAAAAAAGAAGGAAATACGGTATTTCTCGTGAAAAATTTATAGATTTAAAAATAATAAAAAAAACAAAGAGTATTTTACTAAATTGTAAGAATAGCAGCAATGTGAGAGAACTTGAGCCCTGTAAAATTCCTCGTTGTCATCATCTATAGTTTTTTTTTTTTTAAAGGCACTCTTGCAAATTTTAAAACTATAATGAGGCTAAAGGAGGTAAAAAAAACCTTCCAATCAGTAAAGCTTGCTTGTTTTTTAATAGGTTTTTGTTTTTTCTTTTTTTTCAATGAGTTCACAACTTTTGCCTTATATTGTATATATTGTTGAGGTGACGAAAGAAAGCATTGTATTTAGGAGCATAATTATTTATTTTTTTATAATCCTTAAAAGAATTCATAATCATTTGCAACCGCCTGCGTTATTATTACCGCTACAAATTAAAAGAAAAAAAACAAAATAAAATAAAAAGCGCTTAAAATTCATTTAGTGAAAATGGAAAGAAATATTAAGTTCCTTCCAAAAGTAAATAGCAAAGCAAATGTATGTAAAATCATGTCGTATATTATCTTACCTTATCTTTAGTGACCTTGAGTTTTTGCTTATACCTTTTCCGCACGCTTCCTAGCAACCACTATAGCATTGTTTGTTGTCTTATAATAATACAAAGCAGATTACCTATGACCGATATATAACAAAGTCTTCATGTGCTCTCCATTGTGATCTTAATGAAATGAATTTTTTTTTTGTAACACCTATATCCAGCGATTTATTGATTTATCTTTGAAAAGAAATGATTTTTTTCTATATGGTGTATTGTGAAACCTTTGCCATCAAGCAAGTATTTAATCCTATAATAATTTATTACTCCCCTATTTAACCTTTTTACTGTAATTAATATAATGATGATGATGATTATTGTTAACATACTTATCTAGTAATACATTTTATGGATAACAAGAACTATAATTAATTTAAAAAAAATAAAACGATAAAATATTTTTTCAAAAATAATCTATTTTTACAGGTTTCTTTAAAGACTAGCGTCGATTTGCGGTTCTTAGGTCGCTTTCGTCGTCAAATATGATCGTTTTTTTGAGTAAAATCTATTCGATTGCTTTCGTATTGAGTTAGTTTACGCTTTCAATGAATTATTCGTGGCATCGTTGGCATAGGCATAAGACAAAAATGTTAACACTACAATTGAAAATTACGTTTGAGTTTACCCTTATAACGAGAACCATGAACTGAATCCGGATAATCAAATGATTATCTTAGGAAAATTAAATATTTTTATAAAAACCAATGAAATCGTTGACTTAAAAGCATATACGCACCATTTTCCCTTTTTTTGTAATATAAACAAATTATATAAATAAATTGGAAATTAATAAATAAATACATTGACGAGATCACAATCATATACATTTATATTTGAAATTGACTGAGGCTATATGTCCTTTACTGCTTCATTGAATGCTTAATATATTTTGTCCGGTGACTATAGGGAAAAACGTACAAGTTGGAGCTTAAGTCAATGGCATCGTTTGAAGCAAAAATTTACGTAAAAATTGGTGGTTTTATAGCATTTCACTAGTGCAGAAGCCGCACTTATTACCAAATTAAATATTTTGCGTGGCTTTTCCGATTTAAGACTCCGTCATTTTTTTTTAAGGTGCAAGTGCTTTTAAGATGGATAAGTATGGACACGCCTTGTAAACTCAATAAAAACTGTCAATAAAATAGTAGATGCGTAATAGATGAGCAATACATTAAAAATATCTTAGGCGGTGACATTATTTAATTAACGTCGTCAGTAGAGTTTCATATGCAGCCTGAATGTTCAACTTGGCATAAGCTAAAAGTTTTTTAAGATAAAATAGAGAGCATAAAATGTCAAAACAAATACTGCTCTTGTAGATTTCTGTTGCTGTAGTGGTCACGGTCATAAGAATAATTTCTGCTTAAAAGAAAGCGCTGGTTGTGTTTCAAAAATAGGCGGGACTTAAGGGCTCGTCGGCAAACAGTGTACAGAATACGTAGCCAAGCTAACTAACAGGTTTGGTGAGGATCCACCTTTGGGAAGTAAAAAAGAGGGCAGGAACCTCAATTGCTCCAGAATGGGAGATGTGCGTGGGGTAGAAAACTTTTCGCATCAAATCAAAAAATTTTTTTTCCAGAGCTTAACAAAGGGATCTGGAAACCACAAAAGATAATGAGAATGAAATCACGGCAACGGTATTTTTAACGACGAATTCTTATTGCATTGAAATACTCGGACACGGCTAAAAATATATTTTAAAATTAATCGAGGAAATATTTCCCTATTTTAGTGATTCAAATATGCTTTACTTATCGAAATATATAGATAAAGTTTGGCCGGATCAAGAGGAAGTAAAAATTTAGAGGGATCAAAAATGTATAACACCTGCGATAGTAGTGCTAAAAAGACTTTAGTAGAAGGCAAAATTCTATTATTTTGTAACGCACATAAAGCAATTGGCTCTGAAAGTTTTCTTCGCTACGAGCAGTTTTCAGACACTTTGAGGTACATACCGATATATTTTTAACCTTTAGATTCGTATTAAAGCATCCTGTCTTCGTTGCTTATAAGAATATACTATGCGATTTATGTGATTAATTTTAAATTGTGTCCACACTTTCGCATACAATGCGTTTATTAGAAAACCTCCTATGTTAAGTACTTTTTTCTTCTTTATGGTAAAGATTTCGCTTAAATAATTCAAAATGTTCGCTTAAATATCTATATGCATTGTATATACATAAATTAATGTATTTCTGCGTAAATATAATGTCGGGTACGTATATATTCGTAGCTACAAGTGTGACGGGATTTCAAATATAGTGATTTTTGCATTTTGATTGGCGAGTTTTTGAATGAAAAACTTCACTTTTTGACTAGCAATTAAAAAATAGTGCTCAAGTTAACTTATAGAAAAATGGAGTTATACGACTTGCCCGTTTGGAAAATCGGATTTCGGAAAAAGGATTTCGTTTAAAGCTTGAACAGTCATTGAAATCGGCAATTAGCGTAACTTCATTTGTTTGTTGTTGTTGTATCTTCGAAACAACATATTCTACCGAAACAGATGGGATTTTTTCGATTACTTAATTTAATCCATTTTTATTACTAATAAAAGAGTGTCCTTTGTTTAATCGAGATAAACACTTGTTCGTCAAAAACTACTTTCAATCCCAGGTTGGACCACCAATGCTGCTTTCCGTAGAGCCCCCTGAGAATGATTATCACTTCTGCCAGATTTTAATATTTTTCATAAATAATTTCTTTTCCAACGGTTTGCTTAAGAACCTCTTCAAATATCGTTATACTATATACCATTAGAGAATTGTGTACCCTGCAGAAAAACTTTTATTTCAAAATCCCTCATGATGGGTTTGGCTGCTTACGTTTTTTTTCGATTTCTACCATAAAAGTTTGTGTAAACACTTGTGTATACTATAACAAAGGAGAAGGAGAAACATGAACGATAAAAAATTAGTATTATTTATTTACTTGTTATATCATATGTTATTTATTATTATTACTAATATCGGTATTTTGTAAGTAAATTTAAAAATGAAGCAATAAATTTTGTTGTTATGGTTAACAGTTAAATAATATAAATGGTGGAATGTTCATCATTTCGGACTAAACGACCACAGTCCGCTATGAATATCCTTCGTGTTTGGACAATGAAAAATATTTGGTGTAAATGAGTGCATGTAGGTACATATGAATATTTCTTGCTCATTGGCACAGCACATTGTGTCACTAGTGGTCTCGAAGTGCAGCACCACTTTTTTTTCTAGATAAGATAAGAATCATCTTTTCGTCACTACTTTCATCGCGTGATATTTTTTTATCTTAATTCCTGGTATTGGGAATAATCGATGCAACGCAAGAAATAATGATTGAGAAAAGTGTTGACGAAACCCAAAGCTTCTATAAAAAAGTCTGCTAACAAATATGAATTAAATTTTAATGATATTTAATTCAACTTTTTAAATAATTTATTTGGCGAAGAAAATCTGTGGGCGGATTCTTTTAAGCTGTTCTTTAAGTTTCCTATAATTTCAACTTTTTCGTTTTAAGTTCAGTTTCATAAGATTACATGTATGAAAAGGTTTCCGCTAACACCACTTCGCCTGCAGAGATCATTGAACCGTTTCCGTGTTGGCAAAGGGTCTCCGCTACCACGACTCAGAGGTCATTCGCCAGTTTGCGTCTTTGCGTGTGTTACTATTTGCACTTATAGTGCATATATGAAGAAGAGAGAAACCCAGCCTATCTTGTGAATGGAAAGCTGTTGAAATCAATTTTTCTTTGCATTTCTCCTACAAATTTTTACAAAGCAAACTATGTCTGTTGTGAATCAAGTTGTAGGCACAAGAGTGATCAGGCGGAGATTGTAAAACCGACGCAATATAGTAGACTAACCGAGGTTTAGCAAAGGGGCCAGAAAGACTTAGTTTGGTCGTATATATATATATGTGTATAAAATGACTGAAAGCCTTCTTTTTATCTGTGATTTCATTATCGTTGTTAAGTCTGTCGGAAATTGTAAAGAATAGTCTCTATACTGTTTGCGTGTTCAGTTAGCCGTTATTGGGAAAGACATAAATCTTTATCGTCAATCCTGGGGCAATAAAAGACCATGTGTTATATTAGAATTCCACTTGTCTACTCTGCTTGGTGAAGTGTCCAAGTAAAATCCCATCATCTTCCCTCTCTTACACTTACAGATTTCAAGTTCATTCGTAGACGTTACGAAACGAAAAAGTGTACTTAACACTACATACATCATATATATACTTGGAACCATATTAAATAGTTGATTAAAACTCGAAAGA